TCTGAAATCATTTACATCAACACACCCAGTAAAATTCAAGATACAGTCGATTGTGTTCAAAATTGGTCTGTAGAAAACAAGATGCAATTAAATGCCTCCAAGTGCAAGGAACTTGTTATCAGTTTTACAAAACCTGAGAAAGAATTTCCGCGCCTTAAGATCATCTCAGGCCAAATCGAGACAGTGAACCATGCAAGAATCCTAGGTTTGACAATTTCTAAAGATCTAAAATGGAACCAACACATAACTAACGTAGTTAAGAAGGCGAACAAACGGATTTATTTTATTATTCAGTTGAAACGTGCTCGTGTACCTGAAGCTGACATAATAAATTTTTACACTACCTGCGTCAGACCAGTTATGGAATTCAGCTGTCAAGTTTTCCACTTCGCCCTTCCTTCCTACTTATCTAATGCCCTGGAACGGGTTCAAAAGCGTGTTTTATCAATCATCTATCCACTGACAGGTTATGCGGATTGTTTACAAAAATCGGGCATCAAACCATTAAGTGACAGGCGTGTGGATGCATGCGAGAAACTGTTTAATGAAATCACCACAACACCAGTAGCTAATATGCATAATCATGTACCATCTAGATACTTTCCCAATTACGACCTTAGACACTCAAGGTCTTTTGTTGTTCCTCAGACCAAAACGAACAGATTTAGAAACAGTTTTTTCCCTTCATCTGCAAGGCATATCAATAATATTAACTGACAATCGATTCTGATGTTCAGTTTTAGACTGGCTAACATTTTTTTAGAAACTTACTAGTTTTATAGCTAATTTGTAATGTAACTTTAAACTTCTGTAATATAGAATTATAAATTGTAATGTAATTTTAAACTTCTGTAAATATAGAATAACTAATTTAATAATTTTTCTTGTAAAATTTAGCACGCAATTCAGCCTCTTGGCTGCTATGTGTTAATCTTATTAAACAAACAATCTATCTCTATCTATCTATCTATTGGTGAATTTGGTTATTTGCTATAAAAAAATCCGTAAACGAATGTGGGAAGTTTTGCAAATGATGGTACCGGAACATGAATAAGCTTATCATTGCCCGAAGTAACATTGTAAAGCTTTTTCGTGTAACCATGCATGCTTTTTTAGTAATAATATCGATTGTCTATTCCTAATTAATATATACTGTATGGGGATGTCAAAATTGTGTTTATATACAGTACATTTTATATATATTCACAGCATTCAGAATTATTATGTTACGTTAGAATTTTGTTATATGGCGCATTAATAGTCACAGGACATCTTTACAGATTGTATGTATTTTTTTCATTTAGCATACATTAAATGTGGGTACAGTACAGTGGCGGACACTTCATGAAATATTGGGGGGGGCTCGTGGGCATGCTCCCCGGAAAATATATAAAATTTGGACCCCGAAAATGGCATTTGCCTTGCAGCATTCTGAGAACACATTTTGCAAAAAAACTAGGTTTTCAAAACACTGTTTTAATTAATGGTATTAAATTACAATGTTTTAATTAATGGTATTATTATATGAGTGTGATTTGTGTTATTTGGTACAAGATTTTTACAGTTTATCAAAATTAAAGGGAGCGGCTCAGCCCACTCCCCCTAGTGTCCGCCACTGGTACAGTGTTCACCTCAGCAATTTTGTACCCGTTTCATATATAACTCTTATTCTGTTTTTATTATAAACATAAATTCTGGCTTTCTGACAGTTGATTGCAGTAGAGAAGAGACTGCAATCTGAACATTCTTTGTCATATCAAATATAGTGACTATACTGCTGGCAGCCGGGTATTTAGTAAACTGCCGGCTCTATAGTGACTATAGTTAAATATAAAAAACGTGCCTATGGTATAGGCACTGTGTGCGGAAAGTGAAACGCAATCTGGGTTGGGTTGTGTTTTGTTTGACTTAGCATTTTTTTCTTAGTCACTATATAGCCGGCAGTTTACTAAATAGCCAGCAGTTTACTAAATAGCCGGCTGTATAGTCACTTCGAAATTTAAATGTTTTATCAATAATTGTGAATGAAATTTTTTCCTAGCAGCCATGGAATTCCTTCGCACAGATACATGTACGCCTAGTGTACCTATTTTTATGCTTTTAAATTTAATCCCTTTGCCTCCCAATGAACATGCCTTAGAAGCAGCACTAACCAGACAAGGCACGAAAAGTAAATGCCGTATCTTAGATAACTATATACGTCTGAACATTGTCATTCCTTAAAGTCATATCTTAAATAAATATAGGGCTGGTGATTGTCTTGGTATTTCAATGAGTATACATATTAATTATGTTATATAGTTTGCTGTATAAAATACGAAAGAAGGCATGGATTTGAGTTTGACTTTCGTGATCACTTTCTTAAATAAACAGCCACTTATATAATAATTTTATAAATATAGCTATGTTATAGTTATAATTATGCCATTTGTCTTTACAAATTTTGCTAAATACTACTGTTTTTGACTTTAAAATATCTTGAATAAGTGAACAAATGTTAGATAGAATGACATTTAATGCTTTTTTTGTGAAAAACTGGCTAAACAAAATTTGAATTACATTACTGTTATATATACACAACAATATATTTATACATTTATGTCAACGGAGATCCAATTGTCAGAGGTCCAAGTGTCGAAGGTCCAAGGGTCGGACGTGTATTGATATTCAGCTATTTCAATTAAGGTTGTCCCCGAGCAAAGCGGAAAGGTCGAATACGGCGCGAAAGCTTGCTGGGAATCGCTAAAAAATGAATGATACTGTTGACATGTTTAAACGTAATACACAACGAGAAATAAACTTAATGTTAAATAAACTATGTTTGAATCACTATGATTGTTCAAGCATAACCGTCGTTAGACGGTTATTATTTATTCCCGCGTTCTTCAATAGATTGCTCTCGATCAATAAGAGATCGTAGTCACCATTAAATTGTCTTGGTTCACATCATCCTCATCAAGGGAAAGACAAAAACAATTGCAGTCTGAACATTTTTTAGGGAGAACACATTTGAAATAATCTCAATATCACAAAGCCTAGTGAATCCTGAAAAACCTTGACGAATATTTTCTGAAATATTTGTGTTTGTTTCCTCGTTAGATATTCGTTCAACGAATTGTTGAAGCTTTTGAAACTGAACCTCCGGATGGAGTGGTCTCGACTTGAGGCGAAAATATCTCCTCTCCTTGTAGGATCGCGAGAAGACTGGGAGGGAGGTTAAATTAGTACCCAGTCGTTTAAAAATGTTCTCTACTTGTTTGCATTGGTAATCTTGGGGAATAATGCCCAAGTTTGATAGTCTATAAGAGGAAGAGATAATTCCACCTCTAAGTACACTTGTATTGCAATTGTACACCAATATCTACGTTATTTTTTTTAAACAGGCGATCCACTGGCACCAGAAGATATTATATCCAGTCATGCTGTTCATTCTCAACTTGAATGTTCCTTGAAATGTCTTCAGAAATCAACATGTGTGGGTTACAACTACATACCTAAATCAAATAAATATGCAGTAAATTGTCAACTCAGCAATAAAACTCAAGAAAGGAAAAGTGGTGAAAGTGGAGAGTGGTCGTTTTATCAAGATCTAGAAACTGTGAGTAATGGACTTTACAATTAATGTAAAGTAAATGCAGAATAAGTTAACATTCGCCATGTACTCTGTGTGTAAAACGTTTACCGTACATTCCAGTCATATCTTAAAGCACTATGGTTCATGGACGCCTTTATATACGCCTACATATTTTTTTATACGAAACCGCGTCTTCCCGATTTTTCAGTAAAACGTTCTGAAGTTGACACGGAAGCATGAGTCTGTCGTATGTACATGCATATATATGTGTACAACATCTTATCATGTCTCGTACATGGGTAGGATTCGGGTTTGTTGTATTGTTCAGCAGATATATTTGCCATCGTGTCCGCAAAATCTGTCAGTTCTTTATTAAAACGAATCCATTCTTAATTATGGTGGTTCCCCAGGGACTTAACCTAACTTAACAAAAGCGAAACAAAAGATAGCTCATAAACTAATTACATTAAGGCTTGGCTGTTGGAAGTGCTGCGGAATATAAGTTATATCTGACTATATGCAAAGAAACTATTGCGTGAATTAGATATCTTCGCAATATGCGAGCACTGGCTCTATCAAGATGAGCTTATCTTTCTAGACAGTTTAAATCACGACTTTCATGTTTTTTTCACAAAGTAGTTCAGATAATAATCTGAATGACCGTTGGAGACGGGGACAAGGGGGTGTTTCTTTATTTTTAAAGAAAGGTCTCAACGCACACGTACTTGAACACATGTATATATAGTGATCGAATAATTATGGCGTGTTTCAAGCTTGCAAACACAAAGATCGTCGTTGTGGCAGTCTATTTTCCTTCAACAAACCGCTTCAATGAATGCATGAAAACATTGGAAATTTTAGAACAAATCTGTTTGCAATATAAAAACAATAAAACAAATTTGATTTTGCTTGGGGATTTTAATGCACATATCGAAGAAAATAAAGAGGCCAAAAATGGAACAAACGAGGCACGAAATTGCAATCGATGTGTAATAAACTTAAGTTGGTCCTAGTGAACTTATCAAGGTTTCCAGAAAATATTTATTACATGCAATGCAAAAAAGCTAGATGCAAATATAGAAGAGAACAGAGACAATCAGTCTGGGAATTTGAGAGAAAAGAATTTGACGAAACAGCTTATTCAAACAAAATAAATCTGGAAAAATGTTAGCGATTGCTAAATAACAGAGCTCATAAAACAAATAAGAAAAGCAAAATAACACTTTTGGAAAAGGATACAAAGGTGTACATGAAGTGATCCACAAGTAGTATAGCTGATCTTTGGGCTAATTATTCTGAGAAATTAGCGACACTCCCTTCAAAGATAAATAATTTGACGAAATGAACGCGAAAACGTTATGGAAATTTTACAATAATAGGTGTTTAAACATGATTATATATTTAGTACCCCGATAACCAGGGAAGAAATAGATACAACAAATAGAAGAAATAGATACAAGAATCCTATTTTGCACAACTCCAGACTTTAAAGACCAACAAAGCTATCGGTTTGGACAAAATAAGCGAAAGACTCTTAAAATGTGCGTCTTTTTCAATCAGTAAGTCAGTCACAAGACTAATTAATCTTTCCATCAAAAGCAACCATTTCCCAAAGATTTGGAAATGCGCTAAGATCACGGCCCTATTTAAATTAGGTGAACGTTCCAATCCTACAAACTATCGTCCTATCTCGGTCTTGCCTACTCTAAGTAAGATTTTAAAGAGAACAGTTCACTCGCAATTGTATAACCACCTAATTACTAACAACTTGCTCACAAGCAAGCAGTTTAGATTTCGACTGTACTCAACCATCACTGCCCTGACCAACATTGCGGATGAAACTCTGAGCAACATGGATTGCAGAAGGCTTTGTGGAGCTTTATTTCTAGATTACTCCACAAACTTAAAGCGATGGGTGTGTCGTCTAGGCGTAAAAAAATATATGTGGTTCCGGTTTCATATCGTGAAAAAATTAGGGTCGGTAGGTCGGAAATAAATATTTTTGTTTGAATATTTTTTCATGGTTTTGGCGGGTTTTTGCTGGGCGATTTGCAGTATTGTCCTGACATCAATATTAACTAGAGATGCGTATTTCCTATGGACGAATTTAGGCAATTTGGTTCAATAATTAGTGTGACAACAGACGCCATTTTGGCATGCTGTATGAGCAGCCAGCAACCACCTGGAGAAAATAGGATCGCGCGGTCAATCGCGTTGAAAAAATAATAGGGTCGGCAGAAAAAAATAGGGTCGGTTGGGAAGCAGAACCACAAGTATTTTTCTTACGCCCTAGCACCGTAGGTTGGTTTGAGTCCTACCTGAGCAATCGGATGCAACAAAGTCTTGTGGAATTGAATTGTCGGACGCTCTTCCTGTCACTTTTGGAGTACCCCAAGGGAGCATCTTTCTCATGTACCGCATAAACGATCTGCCCAGTATTACCAATAAATACAATGTTTCCTTGTATGCCGACGACACAGTCTTATATTGCTACGCCTCGGACGTCAATGGTCTTGAAAGAGATCTTAATTAATGAAGATTTACTTAAGTTAGCGATTTGGTTAAATGAGAATGAGCTGACACTGAATTTTAATAAAACTCGATAAAAAATTATAGGCAGTGATAGGAAGTTATGTAATATATTTTCGATGACTATCTCTGTCAACAATACTGAAGTCTCCAACGCCAACAATTTCAAGTACTTAGAAGTTACCATCACAGCCAACTTCACCTGGTCAGAACATATAGATCGCATTTCCTCTAAAATGAATCAACGCCCAGATCTACTTCGTAGGATTAAACATCTGCTGCCATTTAATGCACGAATCCTTTTCTATAACAGTCTCGTACTCCCAGTCTTTGACTATGCTGATGTTATATGGGGAGACAAAAATAATACAGTGCTAATGAACAATCTTCAGATACTCCAATACAAAGCTGTCAAGATTGTTTTAGATAGACCACTTTTTTCATCGGTAACAGACACGTTAAACACTTTATATTAGGCAGTGGCGTAGCCAGACGTTCATTTGGGGGGGGGGGGGCGAAGCGAACGCCGAAGGCATGAGACCATCTAGAGGGGTCCGGGGGCATGCACCCCCGGGAATATTTTGAAACTAGAGTCCCTGAAATTCGATTTCAAGCATCTTGGGGGTGAAATCTTGCAGAATTCCGAAGATTATAAAGTACATTGAAGACATAAATTTTCCCAAACATTTCTAATTTTCTACTCGGAATTAAATAAATTGGAAAAGTCACCTTGAAAAACAGGAGGAGCCGGTCAGCGTCACCTTATTTCCCCTCTGTGATGCTGGGGGAAGAAAATCCCAATGTGATTTTGATCAGAAATGTTGCATTAAAATCATTCTAGGTTCTATGAGACAGCATTTTCGCATTCTCAAAATTGCGTTGCTTTTTTGTACCATACAGAATAAGTCTGAGAAGAATATTCATGCTATGATAATGAATAAATGTAAATCTAAACTAAATGTATTCTTCTTGGAACCATATCTACAACTGCTTTAACGAGATTTTACAAATCAAGTTCCTCCAGTATATCGTCGTTTTACTCAGTCGAGACGTATTTAATCAGTTTCAGCTTCGACGATGTAAC